CAGAGTGACCACGACTTCGCCATCTTCTCACAAACGCTTTCAGCGTGACCACGACTTTGGCCAGCCTGCAGGCAGTTACATTGTCTTGTGGGACTGCGAGAAACAACAAAGCACAACAGTCCTGCCATTTCCCATTAACAGATGGCTGGGAATCCTTTGCATTTCGTCCTTTTTCTGGTTGCTCTTTGTGCAATAATTTGCAATTTCTCAGAAATGCATGACAGTCATCTTAAGACTTTGAAATCTCTTTAGAGCTGATTCTTATCACCTTATACATGTGTTTTTACAATATCACATTACAGAGGTGGATAGTTCAAGTCTAGAAAGTAAAACTCCAGACCAAAATTTTGTTTTAACCAACCACTTGAGTATTCTGTGATTGTGACTCTTTACACGCAACTGTTTGGTTGACATAAAATCTTGGTCTGGACTTTTACTTTCTGAACCTGAACTATCCCCCTCTGGAATGTGATATTGTAAAAACACATGTATAAGGTGATATGGAAGACACACGTTTATTCATAATATACCTCCTGTAAGACATGGAATATTCACCCACAGAGATGAACCAACCCCTGTACCCTGATGAAATCAACACACCAACACCCCATTAATCAACACTCGTAAGTATGGATTTCAGCTCTTTAAAAGTGCTTTCAAAGCCACGCTCATCGTATGCTATAGTCTCTTCCAGTGCAGACCAGCCATCCCTTAAGGGTTAGGAACCCTTTGGAGTTTGTTTTTACTCATGAGAGATGCAAATGGAATCTAAGCCAATCCAGTCCACCCTGAGTCTTTAACTCCTCGTCAAAGATATTTGCTTACTGATAGAACTACTTTTTAAAAGCCTCCATGTAAAACAGAGACAACAAAGAGGTGCCTTTCAAAGGGAAGACAGGCTTTCTTGTGTAGCTCTGCAGCTCTAAAAATACAGCCAGATCTCACACCCTGCACTTAATCAAATTTTATGTGAACAGCTAAATTATCATATGCAGCATACCAGCTTAAATGCGTGGTTTATTCATGCAGTACATTCCTCTCTCCTATAACCTACTTATCCCCAAGTCTACAAGTCAACCTGTAATTGTGCAGGAAATGCCAAAGTGGACTTCCTGTATGAACTTTTTTGCTGCAAATTTTAACATTGTTAGTTCTGCTTCTAATAAATCTGGAAGAGTTGTTTTCAGAATCTTTGCATGGACCGTATAGCAATTTAAATCCAACATGCTTACGCCACTCATTCCCAAGAATACCGTGTTTCCCACACTCAAAAGAAAATACTTTGAAATTACTTCTTTTAAACAATTTTTGCTAAAATTTCAATTGAATGAAATTGGTTCTTTATGAAATTAATAAAATACAGCCTGCAATTGAGTTTTAGGTAGGAACATTTAGTTGTTTGCTTTCTGATTGGATTGCTGTTGCTGTGTGAAAAAGACCTTAAGCATGTATTCAAAGGTAATTCCAACAGCATGTATTGCCTGTAGTGTTGGATGGCAATGCTCATTATACTTATTTTATGACTTGGCACAGTGATGAAAGACCTTCTTTGGTGCTGTCTTACTTTTGCACTTAACACATTATGTATTTGGTGCAGATTAACACCAGTAAGTCTGGGTGCAAAGTCAGATGATCATCATTATGACACCTGGAAAAGTGGCTAACTGTCTCTCTACTATGGAACGCTACGCCCTTGGGCTTTCCGTTGACCAAGAAATCACTACTAATAATACCACAGGAGATGTTTAATGTCCCTGTCAGTGCTGCGAGCTGCTAATTATAGATATCTTGCTCTCTGTAGCCGAACGAACACGTAACAAGGGCATGTTGCTCACAATCTCTAATAGGTCCCCTTGGAAACAGTGGTGTGTTTATAATGTGAAGCCCGTCAAAAGAAAACACAAGTAAATAAGAAATATGATTAATTCCACTTGTTCTGCACTTTCCACTGACGTAGGTGTGTTATTTACCGGACGCATTAATGAGATCTCACCGAACATACTCACATCAGAATAACATGACGAGAGTAATCAAACGCTAGACGTATTCTCATTTTCTCTCTCTTCCTCGCTCACACACAGAATAATACATGGGAAGATGCATGCACGGTTCTTATAATGTGCAATCTCACTTAGAATGCAAGACTGAAAAGTGCAAGTATGTACACTTATTAAATATATACGTATATCTGTACATGTACATGTATGCGTGTGTATGAATATAGAATGATCGGAATTAGACCGTTTCTTGTTGTTAAAATATAGCAAGCGTCATTAGTCGGGAGTGTGGTGACAGCACTCTATGTATACACACATATGCACACAGCTAAACATGAGCAATGCTCATAAAATCACCTTGTAAGTTACACAACATGGAATTCGCAAGAAGCCGGAATGCTGGCATCTCTCACCTGTCCATCACCTTCTGAGGGCCTGCTGACATTAATGAGTGAAGTTCTGCTCTTCCTGCCTGAGCTTTCGCTCACCAAGCAACCTGCTCCACTTGTCTTCACACGGGAGCAGGAAGTACAGTCCTGAGAGGTTCCTTCGACCCGACGCCTCCTCCAGAAATCCTTGCTCCGCACCCTCCCATTTTTCATCCTCGTGCTTCCTGTTTTCCGCACCTCCCTCCCTCCCTGCTCCCCCTGCGTGGACCAGACCGGCGTTGTGTGACAGGAAGGCCTCACCCACACCTGAGCACCTGGTCAGCTGCCCCTACCTCTCCTCTGCTGCCTGGTGTGCATCTTCACACCGAAAGAGAGAAAGTGACAGACGGAGACAGAAAGGAGGGAAAGGAAGGAGGAAAGGAAATGATAGGAGAGGAGGGTGAAAGACTGGAGAGGAGGAGAACAAGCACGACAGACCAAGACAGAGAAGGAGAAGGGACTGGCAATGAAAGAGAAAAGGTAAAATTCCACAGAGAACCTCAGCCTTGTAAACTCGGCTGAGATTGTCTACTTTACAAAGGACTGCACCAGTCTCTTCTCCGGTCCTCTCCCTCTCTCTATCTTCCTCCCTCCCTCTCTCAATCTCACTCCAGACTTCTTGCAGGATCTCTGTTAACCCATTCCTCTGCCTCATAGGCGTACTGTCTCGAATGCCAGTCCGAGGACCAGCCGTGCGTCAGCTACACGTGCAAATATAAGACAGAGACAGAGCATCGAAACCAAAGTTCTCACGAGCGGAGACGAACATGTCGTACCGGACCAAGAATCTGGCACCGGGCTGTCAGTGATGTCAAGTGTCTGATTGCGGGTTCTGCGTGGAAAATCAGTCCTCTCTTGATGCCCTGCCAAGCAGATGCTGCCAAGTTTTGAGGAAAACTTAAACATATGTCAGGAGACAAAATATAGCTTGAGGCAACGGTAGACCCTCATTGGCTTTAGAAAAGTGTGTGTGTGTGTGTGTGTGTGTGTGTGTGTGTGTGTGTGTGGAGGGGGGGTTCTGGATAATAGCCAGGGAGATCAATGCAAGAGTAGCTTATTCTCTCTAGGAATATTCATATATATACACACATACACAAACACTCACACACACACATATACAGGCTTTGTGGGGACTCTCCATTCACTTCTAAGGGGAAAACACTAATTCCAACATAATCCCAAAATAACAGGTTGTTATTTCATTGTGTGGACATTTGGTCCGCACAATGTAATATTAACATAATCCACACACACATACACACACACCACACACACACACACACACCACACATATACTGTGTAATACTGTGTGTGTGTGTATATATATATATATATACACTGTATATATATGCAGAAAAATAAATGTATATATTTCCCAAATTTCAATTTCTTTAAAGCAATTTAGGTAGCCTGAGAAATTGTTTACATAACCATTTACGTAACTACTTATAAAATCATGTCTGATTATTATCGTGACAGAGCCGCCTTTGTTATTCCAGATGACTAACGCACAGGTCTGATCTCCTCTCTGCTGTCTGTAAAACATGGTGGAAAGCGAGCAGAGAAGTTCTATGCTCTGCTCTAAGCACAGGCGCTCAGGTGCTGATCTCGCTTAATGGACAAATTGATTTAGGGCAGATGCTGCAGAAAGTGTTTTTTTTTTTAACTATAGGCGGCATTTGAAATTTATGGGCTCTTCCTCCAACAGCCCTAAATCAGTTTTGCCCGTAACACAAGCGATCTTTCAGGAAAAACTGAGGAAAAATTCACATTTCACCAGTGGCTATGGGGCTAACAAAAAAACTGGCACAGCAGGAGCCGTAAGCTCTCGCAAGGTGGCCCAGATCCTCAGGACGTCGCTCAGCTACCCTTATTACGCTGTGTATTACTGAACACGCGGTCAACAGGCCATGAAGCCTTATCTGGGGGCAGATAAGAATTAATTTCCAGGAATACAATGTACATAGGCTGCACAATGAATGTGATTTTAGTCACACTTGGGAGTGTGCAACCCGTATTTAGATTTAGCGATATGGTAACCAAGTAGGATCATCAACGGATCCCACTGTTTGGGCTAAGTCTGTAGCCAAGGGAAAGTGACCCTTTACTGAAGCAAGCTGGAAGGACCCCAATGAGGGAAAACCAAGACCTACGAGGGCACAGAAAATACAGAGCTCGTAAAGGTGAAGTCTTCACACCGTGTGGCAGAAGAGAGCCTCCCAGACAGAATTCTATGCTTTGGAGAACAAGAGAGAGGCGGACACCAATCCAACCAGCTCGGCCACTTCCCTCAAGCTTCATCCCAAAAACCTTCTGCCGGTCATAAAGAAATGCATCTAACATGGCTGATGGTCTCATCAGTCCACACAAGTACAGGTAAGTGCTGGAATACTAACAAAGGCAGAGACGCTCAGTTTCAGTAATTAAATGCGCTACGGAGTTCAAAATCCCCCTATAAAATCAATAGAAGTTACTTCATTATTTAAGTGCTGAATTTCCTTTCAAAGGTTTTTTAAATAACAAGCTTTAACGCCATAGTTAGAAATTAATGCCGTTTTACTTTAAACTGGAAAAATATTCTGAGATACTGAGAGTATCTTTTAGCATATTGACATGGCATTTATTTGATAATATGATTGTGGTCTTTAGGTCAATCATAATACAACAATAGAAAAGGAAGGAATATGACAGTTACATTTTAGGTATTTAATATTATACTCATTTAAACTGATATCACAAACTTGTACAAGTAGACAGATGCAGAAAAAAATTAATTTTTCATTATGCTAATTGAAGACATTTCATTTTCAGTAATTATTCATGAACATCCCAAAAATCATTTGAATCATTAATTTTTAATTTCTTAACATTTTCAAGTCAAGGTTTTAATTTGATCAGTTAAATAAATATTAGGAACTTTTTTCCAATATTATGGAATCATTTATTTTTATATCCTTATAATTTCAACATCCACAATAGAATACAATACCATATTTCAAAATCCATGTTTGACATGCAATGATTATTTCACCTAGTCTGTCATAATGCAGAGCAATCTCTACAATGCAGGAAGTGAAATAATAAAGAATAAAAAAAAACTGAATGATTGCCAGAACAAATTACATTACTGCATCTTTGAAGATGGTGATATTAATGGCAGCTTTGTTGTTTAGATATGGGTATTAAAATTGCTTAATGACCCATTAGCATATAATTGTTAAAAAGAGAACAATTCAGCTTACAGAGTAAAAGCCAAAGGTCATTTAGTGTCTTCCTAAGAATATCATAGACACATTTCAGTATTCTGTACATATCTAGCCATGCCCGTCTGTATATCCATAGCTAATATCACAGACACATTTCAGTATTCTGTACATATCTAGCCATGCCCGTCTGTATATCCATAGCTAATATCACAGACACATTTCAGTATTCTGTACATATCTAGCCATGCCCGTCTGTATATCCATAGCTAATATCACAGACACATTTCAGTATTCTGTACATATCTAGCCATGCCCGTCTGCTAATCTTCCTCTTTGTCATATAAGCCAAAGGCCCCAATCCAGAATTACTGTTCACAGCAACTCTGCAGCAGTTGCCCCAAGAGCACCATAAAGCGTAATCTCCTCTTTCTTAAAGTCAGCTGCAAAGAAAAGTGACAGAAATCATTGTTTGGAAGAAGGCTCCTGTTCTTAACTACTGTAGGATCATTTTTTTTGCAGTGGGGGTGTAAAATACCAGTATGTGAGATTTACGTGTCATTAGAATTTTGGCACCAGAATAGACTTTACCAGTCAAACGGATTACCAGCTTTTTTGTACTGTTATCAATTACACTTACTTGGTGTATAGCAAAGGGTTCAATCTGTTACGGAAGTTAAAACTGGATTACACATTTACAAACACGGCGTTCTAGATTTTGTCGTTGTCTCTTTTTTCTTTATTGTAACAGATCCAGGGTAATGTCAAAGTACAACCCTTTCCAGATTTCACATTACAGTGGGGTCACTGTCACCTGGAGATCCAGCGACATCACACACCTGCAAATTTCATGGTTTAAATCAGCAATTTTTATACTATTTCAGATGGAAACTCGCCGTTTAGCTCATCATCGATTCTCACGAACATATTCAGCATAAATATTAATTTTATTTTAAGTCTCAACAGATTGAGATCTGAATCGATAAGCAACAGAAACTGTTCTGGCATTTGTAAGCCATGAAAATTCCTCACTGAACTCATTAACGCAACAGTTTTCCAGAAGCACTGCTCAGGTTAAAACACTCAGAGGCAACAGTAATTGGAAGATTGCACAGGAGTCCCTATTATACCGTGTGCTCCATATCCTATATTCACAGAGGAGGTCTGGATCCACCCAGAAGTCCACACCAATAAAAATAGCCTAAACAGCACATCCCAGACATGCTAATTGGTGGGCTGTGCAATTATAAAGACTCATTATCAAAATATATTCTCACTGTTGGCATACAACTATTCTGCACAAAGGTTAAGGAGAAAGGCTTCAAGTCAGCGACCCAGATGTTCATCGTGCCCACTGTCTTGTAATAAAAGGCTACAGCAGTGTTTCCCAATCCTGCCCTCGGGGACCGCTCAGACAGTCCCGGTTTCTGCTCCCAACAGCAAAAATGTGGGCTGTGTGGGAGGAAGCAAAAATGTGAGATGTCTGGGAGGAAGCAAAAATGTGGGCTGTCTGGGAGGAAGCAAAAATGTGGGCTGTCTGGGAGGAAGCAAAAATGTGGGCCGTTTATGGGCCCCCGAGGACTGGGTTGGGAAACACTGGGCTACAGCAGTTGTGGATTCAGATGATAGCAGTTTCACCTACTTCAACTCATACAAAACTGCAACCTGCTACCAACAGTTCTCACTGTAAAAATACAAGGCAAGTAACACGAATCAGGTGACTAAGTAATGCTGCCAGGTCTGGGCTAAAAGGTTTAAGTCAAATTTTAAGCCACAGAAATACAATTTGCAAAAGATGCTTAAAAGACAAGACGTTGCCATTTTCCAAGCTATGAAGTAAGTTACTTATATCAGCTGTATTATACAATTCAAATGCAACACTTTGTAATGGAGAGCATGGTTTAGGTGGCAATGCACTTATGTGTGTTTAGCTATAAATATAACCAGTGCTTTGCGTCTCTATCAACTGACGCTATCAGTCACCCTAGACAAAGGCCACTGTAAAATAAATAATTCATAACAATGATGAAAACTATGCCTGTATCTGGTGCATCTCGATTTGGAAATTACAAAACATCTGTAGCTCGCATTCTCAGCCTCAGCTTGCTTTACCTTATGGAAGAGAAGACCCTCATTAATGTTGAGAGCTTCCTAGTATCTTCTGCCAGTGGTAGTTTTTAGATGTGATGCACAGCACGCTGTCTGCAAACTGGAAGCTTATTTTACTTTGCTTGCATTTTGTATCTGCTGTTCGTACTAACAGGTTTCATTCGTATTCAAAATCAGCTGCCCTTCTGTAGGCCTCAGCTGCCCTTCTGTAGGCCTCAGCTGCCCTTCTGTAGGCCTCAGCTGCCTTTCTGTAGGCCTCAGCTGCCCTTCTGTAGGCCTCAGCTGCCTTTCTGTAGGCCACTTGCA